AAGTTCAGGATATGAACAGTGCATGGTGGGCAGAGGGCAGGAGAAAGCTGGGAATCCAGGTACCTTCTGGTAGTGGGAGGTACCTGGATGATGCCAGCAAGAAAGCCTCACCTCTCCTAAAGAGAAAGGCACAGCCATCCTGCAAGCTCTGCAGATCTGACACAGAGAAAAAAAGTCATTCCCAGCCCCAAAGCTGGTAAGTGAGGAAAGCACAACAGGCACTCTGTGAATGCGTGTTCTCTGTGCCACCTCCATCACTAGTCCACAGTAGCCCCTCTTCAGCAGCTGCGGCCCACCACTGATCCTTCAGAGCAAGACAAAAGAAAGCCCTCAGATTTTATCTAGGCAGTTTTTTGCTTTATAGAAAGAAAGCAAAATAAGTACGACCAGGTTTAGCTGAGATGAGTGGTTTCAAGCCTGAAAATACCCATACTATGTGGACCAAGGATTCTCGGGGCTCAGAATAATTCTGAACCAGTGTTTGTTCCAGCCAAACTTAAAGCAAGCTGTGTTTTTCGCAAACCCCTGTTGTTATATCTCTAATGACTGCTGTCAGATTCATGCGTGCATATCTCTCTATCCCCAAAGGTTGAGTTCCTATTCCCGAGTATGTAGACAAAATGTTAGGGTATAAAATGGGTACATGAAAGGTTAAAATCAAGCATCTGCCTTGTGGATTAACACACATTTTTTTCTGGAGTTTGGTACGCCAACCTGTACGTTTAAAACAGTTTCTGTAGTGGGCTAGCATGTAAGATCATGGGAGCTGGCACCTTACCCGTCTTCCTGGTCTCGCTGATGTGGTACCCATTTACCGCTGCCTCGGCTGCCGACATTCCCTGATGCAAGGAGACATCATCTGCACCAAGAAGCTGTGTCCCCATTGTCTCTGTGACTTTGAAATAAAAAGCAATATAAAGCAGCTAGAAATTAGCTGCATTTTGTTATAGCTGAAAACAAGAACATAATTTCAAATGGACAGTACAGAGCTGTCCGTTGCTATGTTCTTTACATCTCAAAGTTTGATGCGATTCATTGCACGTGGATGAAGAAAAAGGAAAGAAAGCGTGGGTACGTGGAGGGAAAGTTAAGGGCTGACAGTTGGAAGGGCCCAGTTCATTAGTTCGCTTCCATCAGAGCTGAAGTAAAACTGAGACAGTGAGGAAAAACGTAAATGGCATATAAATAGAAAGAGAATTGAAAACAGAAAAGTCGGCAACAGTACAGCCGGGCTATACTATTCATAATGACATGTTCACAACATAGGACAAAAGTTTAAAATCTTGTTACTAAATCAATAAAGAATAAAAAATGGCATTCTTTACTCCAGTCATAGCTCTTTGAATTTCCACTTCAAATAAAGCGAAAGCAGGTTGCCATGACTACTGAGTGTTATTGAATGTCTTCATATCTGTATAATTGCTGAGTATTTGTAGACAAACAGTTGAAATGCATCTTTCACTTGAAAACTTGGTAGCAAACTAGTTGTTAATGTGAGTCTCCTGGTGTCTTCGTGAATAATTGGCTCACCATTAAGCTATAATTATCTATCCAGACAAAAAGATAGCTATTCAAACAGCTGTCATGCATATATCAGACCTGACTGTCGTTATGCGTTAATGTACAGTATATCTTCATTTTACAGAGCTTTCCCCATTCAGATAAATCAAGGGCTGCTAACGTGGTTGACGTGATTTTATGAAGCTTGTCTTTGGGCTGTTTGATCTTTGCTTCTGAAACTCGATAGCTTTTCACAGAGCAGCGGATCTCTTCAGCAGAGCTGTGGAGAGCTGATGGCTTTCTTGGGCTTGTCAAGGACCGGTCATGGGGCTGTTTTACACAGTGTTTGCCCAGTGTCTCCCTTCGCCTGGTAGGTGGGAGATCAGATCTAACAGGCATTGCTTGTGACTTTTCTTTTTTCTTTTACATTTGTACTGAAGATTTCAGTTAAACTGCTCACATGCAAAATGAGATGTGGAATTTCCACTGTCTTCATATATTATGCATATATACTCTATGCCATTTGCCTGCTAAATGCAGTACTTCCCGCTGTCATGGAATTAATTGATGCTTAATCCTGCATAAGCAAGAATTGCTCCCAGTGAGGCCAATTCAGATACCCATAACTTTCCAGAACATTACAAAGCTCAAATTTTGGTTAACTTGTAATCCTCTGTAAACTACCTGCACAGTCTGTACTCAGGCAAAAACATCCAACTTCTCTTTATATTTTTTGCCTGTGGCATGCCTTTGAGAAGATCTGGTCCTAAAACTGGAAGGAAAATATTTGGAAAGAAAAAAAATCTTTAATCATTTCCCTGCTTTTCATCCAATTTAGAAATATAATTAAATATTAGGAAAACCAAAAGCACTATTACTCCTGTCCTCCTTTTCTTTTAACTACATCTACAGTAGCACATACGTGGGAGTAAATAGGAAGAAGGTGGTCCAGAAAAACAGACTTCATGTTGTGTTGAACAGTTGCCTCTGTCATACAGCACCTGTAAAAGAATTAGGAAAACACAGGAGGGCACAGTTCTGTAAGGTACCAAGAGCTTTAAGCTCAAACTTGTGCAATCCTTAGGTAGTAAACGTATATGGGAAGCAAATTCAGAAGGAACGTGGAAAATGCTGAAATATTCTGGGGGACTGTTTCCCCTTCACTCCACCAGTACTTCTCCTGTTCTAGAAACTATGTTATTTGTCATGAAATTTTTGAACCAGTACGTGTGTGTTGCTTATCAGCAGTGAAAGCAGAGTATAGTTCTTGGTAATTAGCTGTTATTAGCAAAATGGCAGAACTCCAGATCTGAGATCTCCTGGCAGCACCTAACAGTACCAATCTGGATCAAATTTTGCAGCTACTCCCTCAATACACAACTAATTACCCAAAATCCAACTTAGGCTGTACCCCAGTTCTGGAAAATAGTTTAAATATATACTGAAACGTAGTACTAGTAAAATTGTTACCTGCAGCTTGCTTTCTATTTAAAAAAAAAAAATTAAGAAATTGGTAACCTTAAAGTCAGAAAGCTTATTTTATTTCCACTAGCTGTACTAGGATTGATCGAATTTATTTATTCATGACTTGAGGTCTACACATAAATGAAGTTTACATTTTCCTCTATTTGCATAGTTCCAATCAACTAGTAGTAGAAAAGAAGTGCTATATGAAAGTCTTTGGTCTTCCTACTAAAGATCATTGTGTCTGTAAAGAGCACTTGGTTAGTTCTCTAATCACTTAGATGTTTTCTGTCAAGCTGTATTAGTCTCTGTTCAGGTTCCACTAGATTTAAGGTTCTCTTTCTTGGCATCTGCTTAACCGTATGAGTGGAATTCCTTTCCTCTTGTACAGCCTTTTGAGAAAGCTCCACACTTTCAGCCTCAGCATAAAATAGCCCAGTCATCCCCAAGTGATACATATTTTATTGCTGCTCTGGCTGTAATTCTCAGCTCTTTCTATTTTGCAGTCTTTTCCCTTTCATCATCGAGCCCACCCATACTTCTTGTGTGAGGCAAACGGTTCTTTTGAAGAAGAATAATTTATGCAAATAATGTTCTTGTTCATTTTTCGGTAGTTACTTCATAGTCCTAGATTTTCCTTTGTGACTCTGCAGAAAGCAGCTTGGGCCACTCCATGTACGATATGCCTTCCACTTCATAAGCCCATGTCATCCCCTTGTAGCTCTGAAAGCCACTGGAGTATCTTTGTTGACCTGGTTTAGGCCAAGAGAAACTCAGTCCATTGTACTAGGAGCTGAGCTGTGAAACTGTCTCGCTTCAGCACCAATATGTGCCAACACCAACATTTCATACGTGTAACTCAGGCGTAACTATGGAAAAGAAGTTTTTCCCAATTAATGCCAAAAGCGTCATACACTTTTCCCTTTTTCATAATAAACGGCCTCTGATTTATCATTTTAATGAGTGTAATTTACAATGTTTTTAAATTTTTCATTGTATTAACATCAGTGAATTAGGCAGAGATATAATTACATCAAATTCTAGACTATCTCATATATATATATATATATATGAATGTCTTTAACATCTGAATAATGGGAAAAAGGAAATAAGCTGAAAAAGGGAATACATGGACTTAATCCTTTCAAGGTTCCTGGACTCAGCGTTTCAAAGATGTGTGAAACTACTTTTTTTACAGTTACTCCATTGACTCTAAGATTTTTAAGGTCAGAAAGTGTCACTAGAATTCTGTATTCCATTCTTTTGTGTATCTCTTGTGTAATACCAGTCACAGGATTTCATCCAGCTGTTTCAGTGCTGAGCCTCTCAAACTCTGTTGAATAAGCGTATTTACTGACGCAGAGGTCAATGAACTGGAGAAGTGAACAGAGTTCTCCCATCTCAACCTGGTAAATCCCCTCTGCCCTGTTCCATTTTTACTCAAAATGCCAATCTTTTTACAAAAAAAGATATTTACATACATAGAGATTATGTCACTTCTTTAGAACTAACATCTGACGTGTTCTTTATATTGATAAAATAGATTTTATGTACTCCACTGAATACATACGTGCACACATACTAGCCTCGTCCTACCTTCTTTACTTGGTAAAGTATCCCTGAAAATAAATAGTATTAGTTCTGGAGACATTTGTAATCACTCTGTCATGATCATCTCTACATCTATAATCCATTTGTTTTAGCCAATGGAAACTCTTCAGACACTTCACAAAAGCTTTATAAATTCAATTTAGAAGGTGAAGAAAATTCTAACTTACAGAAGTAATGCTGCTGGAACAAAGAAAGTATGTTAGTGGTCTGTGCTTATTTGTATAATTTTCTGCGAACAAGTCTTTGGTGAACTGTTTTGCACATCTGCATCTTGAAGCACTGCAGTAAAATGCAAAGAGAAAGATTTTATCCTCTAATTAGATTGAGCTTCCAACATGGTAGAAAATGTGTCCCTTGTCAAAGGTGCTCTGCGTATTGCTAATCCTGTGACCTGAGAGCTGCTAAACGCTTCTGAAAGCTCCACCATGGTTCCCCACGGCCAGACGTCCTCTGTGTGCTTGCTGGCCGCGAGAGCTGCCCGGGTGCTGGTGGCCAACCTGGTGCTTTCCAAGAGGGTGAGGAACCTTTGGACCTCAGGTAGGGTCCTTCCCAGCCCATCCCAGCTAGGGAGGTGTCTGGGATTCGTTAGGTGTCAGGCTGGGGTTTGAAGGGTTTAGGTGAGAAGCTGCTTCTGTAACCAGAGTAGAAACTCCAACGTGGCCGTCCTGTGGCTGGTACCGTGCACGTGTACCGCTAGAGAAAAGCGTGCAAAGGGACTTTGTTTAGTTCTGATGCGGAAGGGATGATAGACAACTTGAAAAAAATGCCGCACTGCAAAACTTATTGGTTGTGCATGGAGAATCATAAAAAAGAAAAAAAGAAGGAAACTTAGGCCCTGAACTTAGGTCTGTATGATAAAACTCATTTTCAATAAGTCTAACACCTCGGGAAAATTTCAGTTCAGGTTCAGATACCTGGAAAGCTCAAAAGCGTGCAAGCTCTTTTGCCCATAAATAAATAGGTACCATATATTTCTCGAGCATAGCGTTGTACCGTATCACACTGCAGCACTGTGGCTGTGTTTGGCAGGAGCGCTGCCCCTGCCCCCGTACCCCACGCGTTTCA